TGTGTTTTTTTTTATTTTAATTCGGGTAACCAACAGCTATATTACAAAGAATAAAATTTCAGGATATGGTAATATGTATAAAGCCAATTACAGGTCTCCACGGCTAGCTACAGTATATCTCTACAGATGTTTTGCGAATGCAAGTTTTAGTCGGTTCTACTACGGTTCGAGGCCAGCTAATTTTTAAAAAAATTTGAATGCATTTTTGTTTTATTTTCAAATATAAAGGAATGTTTTCTTTGAGTAAAATTTTGAGTAATTCCCTTCAGGTGGCATTACAAAATTCCATCCTATATATATATACAAGGTGTAGTTTTGAAGCCGTGTCATTTCTCGGGGGCATGTCACAGAAGTCATAAAGGTTCAATGTAAGAGAAAGTTTCGGGCCAATAGTTAAGGTTAAGTTCGACAGTATTTCGGAATAAGCGACAGCAATGTTTCTTATTGGAGTTTTATTTAATTAGGAATAATATCAATTACGTGTTTGAGTTTGTGTGTGTTAAGCCGCGTTATAAAGCTAGTTACAAGACGGCGGCGTGTAGTTCGCACAAGCTTACGGAAAAATGAAAAATATTTACCTATAATTTTTTTTATTGATTCGGATTCAGAATCGATAGCCGAGTTACCTCCTAGAAAATGACGCGGCTTTAAAACAACACCTTTTATTTGATAGGCCACGTTTGACCACTATCTCGCCAGGTGGTCAGCGATGATGCGGTCTACGATGGAGTACGTTTTATTCTATTTCTTTTTGTCCAGTTGTGAAGAGCGCATAATAGAAGAGCGTCAATATTCACCAGCGGTTGAATGTAGGAGCTTACGACAGACGTGTGATGATGGCCAGGTCCTGAAGGAGCCGATAAGGTGTGATGGCCATGTGGACTGTAAAGATGGGTCTGATGAGACGGTGGCAAGGTGTGCTGAGGCTGAGTGTGTGCCACCGCTGTTCAGATGCGCTTATGGAGGATGTGCGCATCCAAGAGCCGCTTGTGATGGTGTACGTATATATAAGTTGTGTGGGAGAGTCATGCTTCGGCACGAATGGGCCGGCTCGACCGGAGTGATACCACGGCTTCACAGAAAAGCGACTGAAGCAACGCTTGCGTTGTGTTTCGTCGTGTGAGTGAGGTTAGGTTTTACCCTCCCCTTCCCCAATCTCCCCAATTCCTGAATCCCTAACGATCCTCAAACTCCTAATCCCCAAAAGGCCGGTAACGCACTTGTAACGCCTCTGGTGTTCCAGGTGTCCATGGGCGACGTCGATTGCTTACCATCAGGTGATCCGTCTGGCCGTTTACCATACATACATATGCCATAAAAAAAAATAAGAAAAAAATTCGTGTCCAATGTTTTAACGTAATCTACTAGATGATCTTTAAAATATGTAACATAACATCACGCCTTTCATCTCTTAAGGGTTAGGCAGAGGTGCACATAACTACACTTAACCGTCTGTATATAAGACACAATAGAATATACATTATGTCTCACGTGGATCCACGTTTAGACACACGACGAGTTAATGCCACTGTACAATGTAACACCCACTTTTCACTATTTATGTTATGAGGTCCATGTAATAAGGGGTGAGCCTATTGCCATATACCGGGCACAATTCCAGACTCCGTGCTACTACTGAGAATTACAAAAAACCCAGTAACACTTTGCAACTGGTCGCAAGTGCGACTGCCGAACAAGGGGTCTCGGGTTCCATTCCCGGATCAGACAAAGTATAAATGGGCCTTTTAAAAAAATTCTCAGTAGTAGCACGGAGTCTGGAATTGTGTCCGGTATATGGCAATAAGCTCACCCCCTATAACATGGGACTCATAACATAAATAGTGAAAAGTGGGTGTTACATTGTACAGTGGCATTAAGTGCCGTAATGTGCCTTTATGCGGTTTTATTAAATATGTATTTATAGGTTCGGGACTGCGCAGATGGTTCAGATGAGATGCAGGACCTGTGCGATCGGATACTTCCACCCACCACGCCTAAGTAAGTATCATATAAATTTCATTAGTTCGAACTGTAACAAACTATGTAAAAGAATCTGAATTACACATACTTCTAATTGTTGTACCATCATGAAATTTGATAATTGTGTGTAGATTAGGGGCCGTTCAAGTATTACGTAAGCACCATGGGGGGTGGGGGTCTCTGTTTTGCTTATTTTATTTTTTGGCCATATTTTTGGCTTCGGTATCGATCGTAGATCAAGCTCCGAAATTCTACATTCTTTAAAAAAAATAAATTCAATGTATGGTTTTCACTTTCCTACGATTTTATTATATGTATAGATAGATAAATATAGATTAATAACTTCCAGGCCAATTTGCGTCCTCCCCGCCTACCCGGAGAATGGCAGGTATACCTTGGGGGGCCTTACCACAGGCGCGCCGGGCCAAATGTTCCCGAGTGTTGTATTGAAGTATTCCTGTAACCCCCAATACGTCATTGTGGGGTCTAACACACTGTTTTGCTACAGGGGTCAATGGTCTCAGGACTTCCCGGAGTGTTTGCGTAAGTATTGTACATTATACATTGTGAAGATGTCGTTTTCTGACGACAAAGCAACTTGCCATAAGGAGTACTTTCGATGCTCGAGTATACGAGCAGACGGATCACCTGATGGTAAGCAATCGGCGCCGCGCATGTACACCTGGAACACCAGAGGCGTTACAAGTGCGTTACCGGCCTTTTTGGGATTAGGAGTTTCAGGATCGTTGCGGATTCAGGGATTAGCGAGATTAGGGAAGGGGGAGGGGGAGAAATTGGGCCTCCGGTAACGTCACTCACACGACGAAATACAACGCAAATGTTGCTTCACGTCGGTTTTCTGCTCGGCCGTGGTATCACTCCGGTCGAGCCCGCCCATTCGTGCCGAAGCATGGCTCTCCCACACTTTAATATTTACATAAGGAAAAACAAACAAGTCGGTCTTTTTCGTATTATGCGCACAATACACTAGGTGTAACTTTGCAGGCACTAATAGCATTGCACGTGCCACCTACCGACCTGCCGAGGGATACCTCTTCGAGAACTACATGGCGTGATGTTTTGATAATGTACAGTCAAAGGTCAAAAGTCTACTGCCACCGTGAGTGATGTTCACAGGGCAATGCGTAAGTAATTTAATATTAATGTGCATAAAAACGCGTGCGTACGCATAAACACACGCACGCGTACGCACACGGATATATATAAGATATGCATAAGCGCTGCAGCGCAACCGATAGTCTTACGGTGGCAGTGGACTTTTGACCTTTGACCGTACATACAATGAGTTCGAAATTGGTTTTGTGCAATGGTTCATCGTTTATTTTTTGTGTCTAATAACATTTTATTTCTTTGTTAAATTATTGTATTATCGAGATAAAACCATTTTACTTCAGGACGAAACGATGTAAACATACTGCTCATTACTATTTGATTGCACGGTTGGGGCGGTGGCTGGGCAACGTGTAGCGGGTTCGATTCCCGTACGGAGCAACTCTTTGTGTGATCGATAATTAATTGTTGTTGCGGTTCTGGGTGTCATGTGTATGTGAACTTGTATGTTTATAATCGCAACCTCGACACAGGAGAAAATCCTAGTGTGGGGCTATGTTTTTTTTTTTAAATAGGTACATTGCGCATCGTGCCGCTATACAGGTCCTATTACCCGCAGCGTATATTTTAATAGCCTGTAAAATTCTTCACCAGGTTACTGCAAGCTGCCAAAGCATGACAGTTTTGAATACAGATGCTCGTCATCCGTAGACGATACTCTGGAACCTACAATAGATTGTCCGGAACAAATACCAGATGGCACCACCGTCTACCCTCGCTGCCGTCAACCAGTTTACTATAGTCCTGCGGATTTATTACCAATGCGATGCGAGAATGGGACCTGGGACCGTACGGTAACTTGTGTACCAGGTGTGTCATAATAATAATAATAATAAGCCCCCTGAAATCTAACCACACGGCCCGATCGAACACCAGATCACGTAGGGGGCGGGCAACGCATAAATAATATTACTGGGCGGCTAACGTGGCAATAGTAACCCATCGACGAAATGGAGACGAGAGCAATGAAGAAATTACGTTTAGGACCGCTTCCCGGGGGCGATCGCCGGGGCACGCCTGGAGCCGATGCTGGGCGTTTCAGCATACGAACCATCGGTGGTAGTGAGTTGAGTCAGCGGGCTCCTACCGGGTCACCCGAACAAGTTACCAGCAGACCATCCTCTTCTATTTCTCTTTTCCCTTCACTTCCCTCTTCACCCCCATCCTTCTTAAACTATAACACTGACTCCTCTTCTATGACCTTACCTACTTCTTATAATTCTGCAGCCGTGGATGTTGCACAGGAGGCATCAGCCAACAATCCTGTGCCCACCACAGGTCAAGTACGCGCGCGATTAAGATGGACGGAGGAAATGAATGAGTTCATCTGGCGCACCTATCTCCATGTTACAGATTTAGACACTAAAATTCGAGGCTATTTAGACCCTTTGTACGCCAAATTTACCGAAAGATTCCCTGAAATTAAAGTTTCCAAGCAAAGACTAGGAGATCAAAAACGAGCCATTTTAAGAAATAAGTTAATACCAGAAACCACTTTAGAGTCCATAAAAAACGAGGTCCGAATAACCCTTCAAAATAGTCATACAATCCAAATTCCTACACAACCCCTCATAACTGAATCACAAAGATCCTCAAATACTCGCTTAAGATGGACAGACGATATTAATGAAGCAATCATTAGAGAATATTTTAAAATAACACACTTAGAAACTAATAAAACTGCTTACCGGAAACCATTACACACCATCATAACACAGACATTTCCCACTATTGCACACGTGTCCGAACAACGTATTGCTGACCAACGTAGGGTAATCATCAACAATAGATTAATTTCAGATGACAGATTAGAAGAAATTAAAGGAGAAGTAAGAAGCACACTCAACATTCAGACAGTAGATCACACACAGTACAATGATGAGTCAGAATTTATATCAAATGTAGGTTCCAATAATTTGGGTTTCGGTAGCGAATTAAACCAAATATGTTCACAAACTTATCAGAATAATACAGGTGTAAATACAGCAGTTACATACACAGATGCAACGGTATTACAAGACGAAACTGAAAATACAGATTTTGATGAAACTCTTAACATTACAATAGCAAAGACCTTCGAGGATATATATAATAAATACTCGCTAACAGACCCCACAAGAAGACCTTTTATTCCTAGACAGAATACATCAAAAAAGTTTGCACACATAGTCGCATATTTAAATAATACAATTCTACCCAAATATGGTTCTATTGACGATGACTTCTTGAAAACTCATACACTTATTTATTGCGCTGCTCATACCGCCGCTTTATGTAATGGTTCTAAAATTAAGGAAAACACACAAATCACACCAACACTCCCACAAAACTCAACAATAGACAAAAGACCAAACTGGCTAAAACGATTAGATAGAAGAATACAGATTACACGTAAAGAGATAGGTAGAATGACCCAATATATTAATGGTAATAGACATTTAGGATTAATTACACACATTGAGCGAATTAAACACAAATACCGCAAACATTCGAGCTATGAAGAACCTAACACCACAAATGAACAATTTATGGACAGTTTGAAACAAAAACTTTCTGCCATAACTAGTCGACGCCGAAGGTACGTTAATTGCACTAAACGTAAAGTTCAAAATACTCAATTTAGATATAACGAAAAACAATTTTACAGAACCCTAACAAGCGATACTACAAACACACAAAATAGGCAAGACGTATCAGATGGTCATAACCCAAACTCGGAACAGTTTCACAGCTATTGGTCAAACATATGGTCAAATACTTCAGAACATAATCGAACTGCCACATGGATTCAAGACGATAAACAAAGGCTAGGTAGTATTCCAGAAATGGCATTTGATGCAATTCCACTAGAGGTGTTCGTCAATGTTATTAAAAAAGCACATAATTGGAAGACTCCAGGCACTGACCATATCCATAATTACTTCTATAAGAAATTAACTTACCTTCACCCATCAATCTATAAACACATTAATAACTTCATTAAAAACCCTCATTCTATACCAAAATTTGTTACACAAGGCCTGACATACATGATCCCTAAAGATTCTGACTGTATGAACCCATCTAAATACAGACCCATAACATGCTTACAGACTATTTACAAATTAACTACTGGTTGCCTCTCAGAAATCATCTATAAACACATAACACAAAATAATATCTTAGCAGAAGAACAAAAAGGATGTCGTAAACTCAGTCAAGGTTGTAAAGAACAGTTGATAATAGATACCATAGCCATGAAACATAACGTTAAATTAAAAAATGACATATGCACAATGTACGTCGACTATCAGAAGGCGTTCGATTCAGTCCCTCATAGTTGGCTCCTGTACGTACTGCAACACTATAAAATTCACCCAGTTATTGTACGTTTCTTAACTACAACCATAAAACACTGGAGTACTAGAATAAAAGTAGGCAAATTGGTAGAAACGGACCCCATTCCTATCAAACGAGGCATTTTTCAGGGGGATGCCCTGAGCCCTCTCTGGTTCTGTCTCGCCCTAAACCCCCTATCCAATCTTCTCAATTCATCAGAAAACGGTCTCACCATTCAAGAGAACCACAACCCGGGCTTAAAGCTAACGCATTTGATGTTTATGGATGATATCAAACTCTATAGCAGTAATATATCAGGTCTCCACTCACTCGCAGAGCTTACACAGACTTTCTCAGATGATATAAACATGGCATTCGGTAT